TCTTTCTGAGATGTATGAGTATGAACTGTTTGTGGTGTAGGGGTACGCTCTTTGGGCGATGCATCACTATGAACTGTTGGTGGTGAAGGGGTATGTGTATCACTATGACCTGTCTGTGATAAAGGGGTATGGGATTTATGTGGCGTAGGGCTACGACCTGTTTCTGATGTAGGGCTACGACCTGTTTGTGGTGTAGGACTACGACCTGTTCGTGGTGTAGGGCTACGACCTGTTTGCAGTGTGGACTTGCGACCTGTTTGTAGTGTTGGAGTACGAACTGATTTTGGCCGAGGAAGGTCCGATGGTGGTGCTAGAGTGATGTACACTGCTTGCATTCCCGAATTGATCGGTGTTTGTGATGAAGATATGTGAGTTACTTCTGATGTACTGATATGAGTTGATTGTGTTGGAGAAATTCGAGACAATTGTGATGAAGCAATCCGAATCGAATGTGATGGAGAGACTCGATCATCTTTAGGTCCAGGACTGTGTGCATTTTGTGGTATCGTGATATACAGCGTTTGCGGTAAACAGATACACAATGTTTGCGATGGTGGCGAAGAGGAAGAACGATTTGCACGAGCAGTAACCATATTTGGTTGAATTGTGGTTGCAATTGTCAAATGGCAATAAATTGTTTTTGATATTGATATTTTTGTTTTCGATCATGCTTTATATATTCTCCCATAGTTACACAGGAAAAAAGCCACCAACCATAACTGTTCCACATATTTCATTATTCGTGTATAATATTGTGAAAGTATGACGTCAGCTTTGATGGTAATTTAATTGTAGGTGCCCGACAGCATTCAAAATTGGTTACAGTTGAGTGAATTTCAGTGGTTGTTGTCCCCTCCCCTGCTAATTTTTCTATATAGCTTCATATTTACCATCATTTGTTCCCAATGGTGATCTTGCCCCTGTTCGATGTTCGGCTGTTGGTTTAGCAAATTCAACAGCGTTAGTTGAAGCATGGGCACGAATAGATTACAAATTTGATCTTATGTATTCAAAACGAGCATTTATTCATTGGTATATCAGTGAAGGAATGGAAGAAAATGAATTTAAAGAAGCTCGAGAAGATTTAGCTGCTCTCGAACAAGGTTTATATGTTACAAAAAAAGAAATTCTATATTTTTTTAAAATTAAGATTACATTGAAGCAGGATATGATTCAGTACAACTTGATCCGACAAGATCCAGTATATTAAACGAAAATTAATAATTTTTATATCATTAAAATATATATTTTTTTATAATACTTTTTTTTTCAAATAAAAATGCGATTTAATTATAAAATATATTCCGAGAAAGAGAATGAATCTTCTTTATTTTTTTTTCTCGACTGCTTCTTTTTCTCTTCGTTTTGTCAATGATAAGAAGTTAAGCAAACAATGTATATACATGATTCATCGAACAGCATATAAAACAACACATGTAAAGAACAGTATTATGTCATTATTTAATGCAGATTGTTTTTTTTCTTGTAAATATAAAAAATGAATTATTTTGGTCCATTCAAAATGGTTTTATTAGGTGAAACATATGTAGGAAAATCGTCTTTAGCACTACGATTTGTAAAAGGACAATACTATGAACATGGTGGAAGTACTATTGGTGCTGCTTTTTTTTCCATACTTTACAAATTGATGATGACTCATCAATGAAAATTGAACTTTGGGATACAGCTGGTCAAGAACGGTATATCTCTTCTTTTTCTATTCGTATAAAAAAAAACATTTTGTTTATATCAATAGATTTCATGCTTTAGCTCCTATGTATTACCGTGATGCTGCAGGAAGTTTAATTATCTATGATATAACAAGTGCTGCGTCATTTCATCGAGCAAAATTATGGGTTACAGAATTATATCAAACGAATAATATTAATATGGTGATTGCTTTAGTAGGAAATAAAGCTGATCTAGCCATAGGAGAAAAACGTGAAGTTGATATGCGAGAAGCTAGTGAATATGCAGAAGTAAATGGACTTATTTTTATGGAAACATCAGCAAAAAGTGGTGAAAATGTACACGAAATATTTATGAATATTGCTAAAAAAGTTCTTTTAAAACAACCACTGAATAAATTGGAGAAACCACGTAACATAATTGCATCAAAAAAATCGCGATCAGATAACAGTAGCAACTGTTGCGATAGTAAAACCAAATGATTTCTTTTTTTCTTTCATTTAATATCGAATATTTGTATCAATAAACTTGATTTTTTCATTGTATTAATCTATTTTTCTTCACATGTGAATATAGAAAAGTGATTCATATAATTGCCTATTTTTAACACTGATGAGCTCTTATACTCAGACACATTATAATTATCCATCACTATTACAACAAGTGTATAACTTAAGCTGTATAAAATGAAAAAATGAAGTCAAGTAGATGACTGAAGAGAGTACTTCTCATACTGTGAGATGTACATTGGCAGGTGTTTCTATTGAAAATTAGCTTATCCCTATTTCAATCTCTGTTGGATATTACCCATCGGCAAAGAAAAACTAATGGAATCATGAAGGATGGTATTTCGTGTGTTAATTGGTCTATAGTCGTTTTATTCTATGATGTTTTTTCAATTCGATCGGAATAGGTGATGACGAGCTATAAAACATAAATGTGCAAACGATCAAGTCTGATGAGATTAACCATCACCTTTATTGTTCTTTTATCCCCATATGTGTATGTTTTCAATCGATTGACACATTGGCTCATATTGAGTCCATCTGTTATCTCCCCTGTGTCTATGAAGAAGAAAAATTTTCGCATATGCATTATCATCATGATTATAAATGTTTTGATGTTTGATTGTGAGAAAGATGATCGACAGTATCGAATAAAAACGTTATATTGGATTTTTTTATTTAGCTAGAAAAAAAAACTTTCGGCAATGAGATATATCCTATAAACAACTTATGTCATGCATTGACACCTTTTTCCTTTCGCTTGTTAATGTTTGATCTAAGAAAGATCGACATGAACGATGAGCAGTAACCCGCTGGCGACAATTACTTTTTTTCATCAAAAGAGACATGAGCAAGATGACATCTCGAATCGAAAGACAACACAAAATAATAGAAATGTGCCGCTCAAGATGAACATCAGCAAAACTACTTGAAATTCTAATTGAAAATGAAAAGACATGAACATCTAATTATTTCTGGTCAGGCGAACGAATATTTCCATCACCAGCTGAGAATAACTTTTCGACAATCGAAAAATCAAATGTCGTATACATACAGCAGTAAAAGTAAATCATGATGAGAGAGAGAGAGAAAGAGAACGATCGATCTATGTGTGTATATATATGATTGTTGACTACGTAATATTATGTTCATTCTGACATAACACACTTGATCGCTTTTCAACAAACAGATATTACAACACAAACAATCATGTCATTTATGATTGACCAGATTCTTGCATCATCATCATCATCAACAAATAAAAGTGGAAGATCACCTCTTCAATCTTTAACAAATACTCTTATGAATATTTCTTCAATAAATAAACCAAAAGAACGACGAATGTGGCAGTGTGAAATGTGTACAAAAGCATTTGATCGTCCATCATTGTTAACTCGACATATTCGTACACATACTGGTAAGATCAATATGAAACAAACAAAAAGGTTGAATAAATCTAAATTATTATTTTTATAGGTGAAAAACCACATGAATGTGATGTATGTACAAAAGCATTTTCAACATCATCATCATTGAATACTCATCGTCGAATTCATTCTGGTGAAAAACCTCATGTTTGTGAAATATGTCATAAATGTTTTACTGCTTCATCTAATCTTTATTATCATAAATTAACACATAGCAAAGTAAGATTTTTATTTCATTTTCTATATATTTCGATATTTATTGATTATTTTTTTATTATAGGAAAAACCTCATAAATGTAATCAATGTTCGAAGAGTTTTGCAACACCAGGTGATCTTCGTTGTCATTCCCATGTTCATAATGGTACATGGCCATTTCGGTGTTCAATATGTACACGAGGGTTTTCTAAACAAACCAATCTTAAAAATCATCTTCTTATTCATAGTGGACAAAAACCATTTGAATGTCAATATTGTACAAAAAAGTTCTCTTTATCTTGTAATCTTCGATCACATATTCGTACACATCATAATGAATTACCACTAGATTTTTCTTCATCATCATCAACATATTCACAAAATCAATCGTTATCAATTGTTGACGATGAAAATGAAGATGATATGATCGACATTGAAAATGAATATTAAACTTTTGTATTTTCTCATTGATTTATTTATATTTCAAAACACAATGAACAGTATTGTATTGTACATGTATATAAATATATGTTGAATTGTATTTTCGATTAAAATAAAAATAATGTATGAATGATATTTAAGAGTTTGATTGCGGAAGTTTACATAACGTGATGTTATTGATAGCTGATTATAATCAGTAAGAAAACAGATGAATTTTTATTGTTGTGAAAGGGGAAGGAAGGAAGGAAAGAAGGTGATTGAACTCATAAAATTAGTTTTTAATGATATTTTTGTTAGACAATGTTGATGATTGTTATTTTTGATTTAAATGAATATTTCATTCATGTTATTTGATATATTCATTATGTTCAGTTAGAAAAGAAAAAAGATGAAATAAACCGCATATATAGGAAATAGGACAAATAATTAGACATGTCAATATGAAAAATACATATGTTCCTATAGACTAATTTATAAGGCAAACAAGTTCAAAGATGAGTTTCTATTTGATAAACTCATGTTGACTTTTAAGTCACTATGAAGTGATGTGTTCGTTCGAAAATCACAACCCTTTGTTAATAGACATACACATGTAGTTTATTGTATTCGGCTACTGTGAAAAGATAACACTATGATGCTGATTACGATGTTATTCTTATTCATCGTCTATTTTCATAAGATATATAAGAAGATGATTGTGTTTATCTGAATGTGTATGGGAAAACATGCGTAGAAAAGAAATATATGAGATATGATATTCCAAACAAACAAGTTATTGATGAACGATATGCTAGAAAAATAATTCTCAAATTGCCTTAATATAACCAAATAAAGATGTCTGCATAATAATATTTTATTTCTAATTCCTATGCTAAAATATTATCTTCCTTCAACATGTAACATTAACATACAAGGTAAAACAAAAATATATATTTTTATATTGAAACGTATTATAACGAAAATATGATTTCGGATAAAAAGATCTTTTATGTTATCGATAAGTGTTTTTGGTCTCATGTTAAATCTAATTTGTTCAGTGACTTCTGGATCAATTGAATTTCTGTATCTAAAAATATATATCAACTAGTACTAGTCTTATTTATTCCGGACTGTCGAAGAGTATATTCAATTAATATCTATATCATTCTTTGAAATTAGTGTGACCAATAAATAAAAATTATCTAATATTTGTTCATAAATAAGTCTTGCTTGTAATAGATACGATCAATATAGCTCTAGGTAATCGATAATAAACGTGTCAAATACACACTATTACTATCATATGATTATAATTGAGCTACTAGATATAGATAATACGAATATGTGTGTATTCTTAACAACTTTCAAAGTTGGCGTGTTGATAATTTGTCGTTTCTTCTTTGGACATACATTTACGATATTTTATTAAATTAGTTGTACTATTGAAGGCAATCCATGTGATAAAGTTTATGAAATTATGAAGAAGACACATCTAGTCAATTTGTTAAGAGATTTTTTTTCGTAGTAATATGTGACTTCTACAAAGAATAACTTTCGTAATTAAATTGATTGATTTCAGAACAAGATGTCCTTCTTTATGGAACATAGATAAAGGCGAACTTCTATATCAATAAATCTCTCAAATAGTCATAGAATAGCATAATCATCAAAAATGGTTTACTCATTTTACTTTCCTATGGTTTCCGAATACGGAATTACAAGTAAATCAGTAGGAAAAAATGTTTAATTATAGACTGTTAGTAGATTTCATTGCCTAGTACGTACTCAACATTACAGCTTCTCTCATTTTAATATGTCAAAAGAACATTAATTTAGAATATGCCAAGAATTTTTCGGATCATTGTATATCTAAGATCAATTTCCTAATAGTCCGTGTCAGACACTATTAAGAACGCATCATAGAATTCTCTCCTTTACAAATTCAAGTAACCAATTTCATCGTATTTTCTATTCCACTTTCACAGATATTAGACTAAAAACAACTAACTATTCATCATCAAGAATATTTCAGTAAATTTATTTAATTAGATATATACAATTAGAATGATTTGATAATTGAAAATAAAAATCTTTAAATAGAATCACATAATAATCTTCTTCATTTAACAACACCAAGTACTTCCGGACATAATCGATTGGTCATTTCAAACTAAAAATTCAAAAATAATATTACTTAAGAAATCGATTTATCTTACTAATGGTGCCATTTCTTCTTTTTTCAATAAATCAAATTCATGACAAAAATAACAGAAATGTTTAAAACACATATTAACATGTGCTTCCTATAATAAAAAGAAATATATATCAATAATAGAAATAATAATAATATATTACCGCTTGTAAATCGATTATACGATCAAAATGATGTACATAAACATGAACAAATATTCGATATAAACGTGAAAGTAATTTTTTACAAGTTGAACGAAAATTTTTGGGAAATGGTGTTCCAACTTGTACAGGAAATATTGATTCATCATTAATTATTGTCTCAACCCATTCCATAAGTAATGTTATATATTTCGGTGCATTTAATGATGTTGGTTTCTTATATTTAATACCATCACACCATCTAAATGATAAATTCTATATTGAAATTTAATACAAAATCTATTTTTATATTTACCTATATTCATATCGAGGACCACCAGACATTGTTGGACAACTTTCCGGAGTACAATAATCAGTTACAATGCCATAAACCAGATTGATTCGATTGAAAAAATCAACCACTAAAATAAATCATAGGAGTAAAAAATTAATATCCCAAAATTTCGGGTGGGCGGTGTTTTGTCTAAGTATCGTTTATTGGGGCGGGGGCGAATCGAAATTTCGGCTGGGCGCCGCCCACCCATTATATAAAACAATAAAGTATGAACTTCTACCAGCGAATCATTTATAACTTCTTAGAA